AAAAAAAAAAAAAAAAAAAAAAATTACAAGCCACACAAAACAATAAACATACACAACTAAATTATTACACTATCATAATAGCCTGCACCTTCAATCATAACACAAATTAACACCAAAATACACAAAAATGGCTGGCCATTGTAATAAGCAGATTAAATTAAAAGTTCTTACAAAACGGCACAACAAGCCATAAGTTGTTAGGCACTAGCATAGTTAACTTGGTTGCATACACAAAAGTAAATTAACAAATCATAAAAACTCTCCTGAGCATCCATCCCCATGTTCCATTAGCTTTTTCCGATGACCCTCGATTACATGAACAATAAAACCAATTATCTGTCAAAAGATATGCATTCTTCTTCACACGTCTTAGATTTTGAATGTGCAGTTTCCAAAATGTCATCAGAATGAACTGCATAAACACAACAATATTGTTACAATCATTATCAGTTCAAATACCAACTGTTAAAACTAGTAAAACAACATTAAAAAAAATATACCAAACGAGTACGGTCAATTGTATGTTTTTTTCAGCTGTAGTGTAAACCGATATTGTGGAGTTCTCGACACCAATTTGTGTGCATATAAAAACATTAAAACTTCCACAGCCAATGCTTGCAGCGCCAGTTTTGCATTTAGATGGAACAAAATACCAAAGAGAATTAGAGAGGATGGCCTCACTAAATAATCTTTACTCCGATAGTTGTGCTGCTAATATCTTCCTTGCATAAGGCCGATTTGCGTGTGGGACTTGAAGAATAGAATATGCTGCCAACCTTGGAAGAAGTCCCGCCACTCACTGGTGTTCGGGCATATACTGTATATACCCCAAGGAGAGATAGCGCTTCAAAATCCTCAGTTAGAACATCTTTGTAGATGAGATTGCTATTGATTCATTGATTTCAACTCATGTCAATCATCGCCTCATCCCCCATCTGGCCACACAATTGCTCAAAGGTCACTGGCTCTCCCTGCCTATCTAACTATTGAGGACTTTGATTTGCTTTTTCTTTATCGATTGGCTTGGTGTTCCGTATACCGCACCGAAGTTTGCGGGGTCGGTTTCTAAACCTTGGATTGTGATGGGAGATTTCAACGATTTGCGGAAAGAAAAGGACCCAACTCACATTCTTTGACATCTTTTGTTAGGAAGACGGAAAAACAGCTGTAGTGTAAACCGATAATGTGGAGTTCTCGACACCAATTTGTGCGCATATAAAAACATTAAAACTTCCACAACCAATGCTTGCAACGCCAGTTTTGCATTCAAATGGAACAAA